AAAATTTTGATAAGAAGAAATTTTTCAAAATTTAGAAGTCATGAAAACCATAATAATAACAACTCAAGCATTATAAATTCACATGTCAAGCATAGTTACAATTTCAAGAGGTAGTTTCAATATGAACAACCAAATTTCAAGCAAGTTTAAGGATGTTAGATTTCATATAGGACATTTGATTCCACATTCAAATGTCAACCAAATATCCATTCGGATAGTCTCAACACATAAATATTTTAACCAGGATCAACACATATAAATAAACCATGAAATTAAAAATCAATCTCATCTTTTCGGCTCCATCGTATGGTATTGAATCCAACCTTATTTCGCCTAAAAAAAGCTTAAGGATCATATATCTCTCACGTTTGATATGCATCTGCGTATCTCAACACACTTCAATAATCATCAAATCATAATTAAGTTGTATTTCACATCACATCGTAGTTGTTCAAGACATAATTATAAATTGCATAAATTGATGCCGGATAGTTTAGGATACTTACCTAACGAGTTAGTTAGCTTGTGACGAGCTATTGAAACTATTGTTAATGTCTAAATGTGAAATGATAGGAATATTATTTGGGGCTAGCTTAACTTTCATTGACTTCAATAAAGATTGTAGTAATTACAATCATTCAAGGAGGACAAAATAAATATGTGTCGTGCAAGATTGATCCCATGTTTTTTTCTTCGAGTCTTGGAATTTAATTTACCTCAAGCTAAGATCAAGCAAAAAGGACCTTAGACCACATATTAACTCGTCGTTAAGTTGAGCAATATGATTTAAGAGCCATTTGTGCTTGATTTGGGTTCCCTTTCCTTTTTTTTTTTTTTTCCTTAGTAGATGGTGGTATTGACAAAATCGAGTTTCCATTGGAGAGGAGTGATTGGCGATCTTGACGTTGAAATTAGGTCATTGGGGATATTACAAGGAAGAAGAGGAGATCAAACTGGTCCGATGGTGCTAAAACAAGTGGCATAAGAAGGGTCTAAGAAGATGGTGTAGATGACAAGGTTGTTAGCCGGAGAATGGCTTTTTATTTATTTCAATTTTGCCCTCAATTAAACTCCTTTTGGTCCCTTTTCTCTCAAATTTCACTCGAATTAGTTTGTTTTTCTTTTCTTTTCTATCTCTCTTTTTTATGTTTCTTTTTTCATGTTTTTATTGATTATTTTTTCTCACTTATTTTCAATCTTTCGTGCTAAATGGATTTTTCAAAACTTCCAAAAATTCATAAAAAACTCGAGAGAAATGCTTAAATTTTGAAAAAAAAATAAACCAAATAAGAAAATGTTTAATTTTTGAATTTTTTTTATTTTGATTTTTTTTTATTTTTTGGTGGAACATTTGTGAGAAATTAGGGGTCAAAATCGGATGTTGACAATCTACATATGTAGCCCTTCAAAATTGATTTTTTATTTAATATAATTATGTATGATATTATCACAATTTATGATATTCAATTGACTTGATATTTGACATGATAATATATATGAATATTTGATTGTAGTCGTTGGTTAGTTAGGTCGAATCAACATTAATAAATGAAAGTTATGTAGCTATGTAATAATTTACGTAACATATAGTAAATGAATGTCTTAAATATATAGCAATTAGAGGATAATTAATCAAACCTTTTTCAAACTTTCTTAGAATTTGAAGAAGGTTGTGACATGCAAATATTTTAAAAAATAATTGTCAATGTAGGAAAAGAAAAAGAAGAAAAAATGTAGAACCTTTCATAGAACCTTTCTTTATTTTTTAGAGTAAGTAAATGAACTAAATATAAAGCTAATGCCATATTTTTTCTTATTTTTTATATTTAAATATTTTTTATGTGCTTAAAATATTATATTTATTAAAAGTAATATTAATATTAATTTTGTATTAGATTATTATCGGATCGAATCAAGATATATTCATATTTGATATCTTTAATAAATAGATTAATAAATTTAGATTGTAATCGAACTCGATTAATATAAATTATGTAGTAAATCCATTTATTTTATATTAAAATCAAATTGAATTTGTATCTAAATCTGATTCATTAAGAGCCTTACTAGTAAATAAAGGTTTAGTTAGGCTATAACAACCTAGTTATCAACATTTTTTTTTCCTTAAGAAAAGTGAATGGAGCTTTTCAGTTCATCTTGTATTACAAGTCAATTGGTAGCAGATTCCATTTAGAAAGTCAAACCAAATTAAGATGTTAATTAATAGGGTGAAAGCTAAGAAGCGCCATTGGAACATCCTTTAAGGATTATCTAAATGATTGTGATAATAAATAAATAAAAATAAAACATCTGAATGAAAATAAAAGATATTGAACATAAAAATTAAATATATGTTATTTTATCTGATAATACTTTTAAGTGTTAATAATAAACTCTATAATTAATTTAATGTATTAATTAACTTTTAATACGTGTCCCTTTAGCCGAACCCAATTAACAATCATCTTGTTTTTTATTTCCTTGTTCCTAATAACAACGCCACTGCCTGCGTATCTAACCCAAGTCAAAGGAAACGGGGAAGAAATTAATTACATGATAAAAATAAGAGAAAAAAGGGTCTAACAACTCCCGAATTTTAATTCATTTGATGTTGGGTTTTTTTTTTAATTTTTTTTTTAATTTTGAAGATTATTGAATTTTTAATTTTTTTAGATTTAGTTCATCTTTTAATTTTTTTAATTAATGTCAAAAATATAACAATCACATAAATAATTTTATGATGAAAATTATTTAATGAGATTTATGTGAAACTTCTCAAAAAATTAAAATTATTCCAGAGTTATTTTTTATTTTTTTTCAATTTTTATATTTTTAATGTTTATAAAAAAATAAATAGAGTTTTTAATTTTAAAAAATTCTAGATTTTGTTACAAAAATAGACAGAATTTTTTTCACTATACGTGTAACTTTTCAGCTCAAAATATCAGCAGTTGAATTTTTTTTAAAAAGGAAAATGATATCTGAAAGTTACTAGATGAGATAAATCCGAAATTAGGGACCAAATAGGTCCTTACAAAAGAAAGGGTCAAAAGCGGCTGCAAAACATAAATATCTGAAACAAACCAATGTCTCGTTTCCACGGGTCATATAAGAGCACGTGCAATTGCCAGACTTTTTTGGCGTGTTGAAAGTACACGTGTCAAAGCGTATTTGGATAAGTATTGAAAAAACTAATTTATTTATTATTCTCACATGAAAAAAACGGAAGAAGAAGCTGATTGGCCAGCTCTGGTAAAAAAAAAATATATCATTCACCCACTGATAGAAAATTGACTGTCAGATATTGATATAATGCTAAATTAATTTTATCTACTCATTACGAAGATTATAAAAGTTAATTCTGTCAAGAAAATATTATAATTTTTTACTTTTTATATAAATTAAGAAAGTTATCAATTATTATGCTATATAGTATTTTTATTCTATTTTTCTATTTATTCTGTTCTAAAAAATTTTTCTAAGGGAAATTTTAAATAATGTATTTTTTAAAATATTTATAATTAGAACTAATTTGTAAAAGAAAAAATTGTTTAAATATAATTTTTTAAAAATATTTTAGAAAAATAAGAGCAAAAAGATACAGATATTACATAATAAAAATCTTCATAATTTATGTAAAAAGTCAAATAGGATAATTTCTTTTGGATAAAAAAAAGTATTAAAATCTTAATTTTCGTTGGATGAATTTTTTTATTATCACTCAAATTGAAGAGTATAATTGAAAAAATTTAAAATTTTAAGATTATAATATAAACTTTATCAAAGTTAGAGGGTGTCATGCTCTTCTCATTTTTCAACTTGGATCCGCCCTGGAGTTGAGACTTGAGAGTTTGCTTGAAACATTTGGAGTCCAATTAATAAAACATATATACATTAGGGACCAAATAAGGTTTCTTCGAAACAAAAGGGGTCAAAAGAGGCTGCAAAATAGAAAGCTCTGAAACGGAACCAATCAATTTCACGTTTCCACGAGTCAGATAAGATCCGGTGCAATTGCCGATTTTTTTTTCTTGTTGAAAAGTACAAGCGAATTTGGACAAGTATGAAAAAAAAACTAATTTATTTATTATTCTAAAAAAAAGATAATAAACAAAACTTATTGAAAATAATAATAATAATAATAATAATAATAATATTTTAAATGGGCACAATTTTAGTTAAGAGCCTAAATGAATTTATTAAGTTTTATTGAATTTTTGGAATGAATTCCTAACCTATGGAATTTCTCTAAAACTAATGACATTAAATCTTGATTTAATGGTTATTGTTTATTGATTATGTTTTAATTAGATGCAATACATGATAATTAAAATATTTTTGATATGAAAATAATATCAAAATCCTATCTTATTATATGAAATATTTGAAAATGAAATAATTCTAAATTTAGAATTGAAGAGAAAAAGATGTTTGAGAGAGTTGGAAAGAAAATAGAAAATTGAATTATCATTTTTTCACTTAATACACTTATTTATAAATAAATATTACACAAAATTTTTAATTAAAAATTTAATAAAAATAATTACATTCATATATGATAACAGTAAATTTTATCATAAAAAAAATTTAAATGATATATTTATTTATTATCTGAATATATCATCCATTCATGTATATAAATATTTATTTATTATATAAATGGCATAAGAATATTTATTCATTATTTTATAACAAAAATAATTATAATTATGCTTCAATACGAAGATAATTATGCCCATCCCATCAATGATTATAATCCCAATTTCAAATCACAAGTTGGATTAAAAAAACACATAATGACTCGTTTATCAATAAATTAGTGACTAATCAAAACGGTTTAACAACCTAAGATCCAAAATCCAACTAAGACAACAACAAATATAAATAAAGGGTCCTCCCTGCCATTCTCCATCTCACTCCCTCCCTCCCTGTCTACAGCATATTTCCTTCATACTTCAGAATACACAGAGAGAAAGAGAGAGAAAGAAAGACTCTCATCAATGGCTGTTAAAATCTATATCATGTAAGCATTACTATGATCTCTCTTTATGATCATCTTCTTTCTGAGTTCTTGTTTTTATTGTTTGTTTGTGTGTGTTTTCTTGATCATGATTCTTGCACTTCATTAACGTTTGACTGATTGTTTTCTTGAAGTTCTTGTCTCCCTTTGTTGTTTTCTTAATGATTCTTTCATTGTATATGCTATAATCAGTTGTTAGCTTTTGTTTTCTTGACGTTAAAAATGGTTCCTGGAAGGCAGCTTTTTTGAGTTTATTGTTTTAAGAGATCCAAATTTTGATCTTTAGTAACTGGTTTGGATGAAATTTGGTGAAAGTTTGATCAGTGCATTAAATTTCTTTCAAGAATCAATTTCATCCATGGATGATGTTGTTTCTTGTAGCAATAAACTATGCAGAAGTCTCATATGCCAGTATCATCTGTGTTTCGAAAATTTCTTGTTGATCTTAGCTAAAAGGCTAAGAACGTGTGACCTCACTTGATATTGTTTTTGTGTTTCAAGTAGTGGGGTCAAGTGTTCTTTCCTTTTTCTTTGCATTGCAATATCAATCAATGAAACAAGAAGTGTAACCGATAAGATTAGTGAAAACTGTGAACCCAACAGTCATCATTAGGTATTAACCAAGAAGAAGTGGTTGTCAAGCTGGACCTACCTTTTGAAATTATAATTCAGATAGAGGAATGCTCCTTTTGCTTTTAAAGAACGTGGTCCCTTTGTTCACCATCATCAAAACTAGTTCTTGGCATGTAATTTTATATGCATAACTAATACAAATGGATTTCATTTTCATGGCCTGGAATAACACTATGTAAGCTCTTCAATCATCTTCTGCTTGAAATTTTGTTTTGAAAAGATATGCTAAGCACAAGATGAGATATATATATATATATATATATTTTTTGTTTTTTTTAACTCACACAAGGCTCCTAGCAAAATTAAGAGCTAGGATTTGAACCCGTGATTTTTTGTTGCAAGAAACCAGTATCACTGGGGTACAAACTCTTTGGTAAGATGAGATTAAATTAATAATGGGGTTTAATTGCTTTGCTGATGTTAGAAATTTATGCACTTAAAATTGTCCCCTTGTTGATGGTTTGGTCCTATCATCCACCCACATTGATGGTGGTTACACCACTCTTATGACCTAATATCTTTTTGGATTATTTTTCTTGATGTAGGCCTCTGTATAGTGCATGCTATTGTTTGCCTACAAAGCTCCCTGTCTCCATCATGCATTGATATAACTTATATATGAATTAATTACCTTTATGCAAATTTCTTCTTCCCTTTCACCATCAAGTAGGAAGAAGATCATATCAACGATGAAAGAGAATTTTCTTTCCTTTTTTTCTTGAAAAAAATAATTGGAAAATACAGTTTACACCAGGACAGTTTATGGTTCTGTTTATATACTTTTCTTGTTCATTAGAATAGTCACACTGATCATGTAAATTTTAAATTGTTTGATTCCTTCTGCAGCTACTACTCTATGTATGGACATGTTGCAACACTAGCTGAAGAAATTAAGAAAGGAGCTGATACTGTGGAAGGAGTAGAAGTTAAGCTATGGCAGGTCTGTGTTTACTTTTGTCCAAAATATTGACCATTTGAACTCTTTAGTCTTAGGCTGAGATAAATCAAAGTCATTGATAAAGAAGCATATTTGCCTTGCCATTTACGCCTTAAGTAAACGTCAACAAGTTTGGCATCATTGCAACTGAAGACTTCTGGCAATCTGGAATATTTTGAAAACCAGAGCATAGCAATACATAGTTAGTAAAGAGCGTTTTTTTTTTCCCTGATGCACAGGGATACTCTTTCCGAATTCCTCCACCAGAACATTGCTTGTCTCGAGAATGGAACCTTATAACTGTAAATTGCTGTTTCCCAACTAAATTTTGAGGCTAGCTTTCCTGTGAAGGAACAGAATCAACTACTCTGGAACTTCAGAGAGAGGAACCATTGCTATGTGAAAGTAGTCAATTTTCAGTTGAAATGGAGATAGGAGACAATGTAATTGGTTTTCTGGCTGACTGGCTAAAATCTCAGTTAGAGTTGATTCCCTCCATAGATGTGCTCCTTACTTAAAACTGTCTTAACACAATGCCCTTAACAGCTGGTGTAAAAATTCAGATCCTGATAACCAAACCACAAATTACTCAAATTATTTTAATTTATCTAGTTTCTCCCCCGAAAGTAAGAATTAGAGTTCTCAGATATTCTTGGCACATTGACAGGTACCGGAAACACTGCCAGAAGAAGTTCTTGGAAAGATGGGTGCACCACCAAAGAGAGATGTCCCAATAATTACACCCACTGAACTTGCTGAGGCTGATGGGGTTCTTCTTGGTTTCCCCACTAGATTTGGAATGATGGCTGCTCAATTTAAAGCATTTATGGATTCAACCGGTGGCCTATGGGGATCCCAAAAGCTTGCAGGCAAGCCTGCTGGACTTTTTTCAGCACCGCATCACAGGGAGGTGGACAGGAGACAACTGCGTAAGTTCCATGCATTTGACTAAGACCCTTGTCTTCTAGGGCATCGTTCTCTTTTTCTTCCAAGTTCATAATTCTGGATGTTTAGTTTATGAATTCTGAACTTATTGTATTTGTTTGTCCTTTCAATATGCAGCTTGACTGCAGTCACACAGCTTGTTCACCATGGAATGATATTTGTGCCCATTGGATACACATTTGGAGCTGGCATGTTTGAAATTGAGAAAGTGAAGGGTGGCAGCCCATATGGTGCAGGTACCTATGCCGGGGATGGCACCAGACAACCAACTGAGCTGGAACTAGGCCAAGCTTTCCACCAGGGGAAATACTTTGCTGGCATTGCAAAGAAATTAAAGGGAACTGCTTAATTTAAGCCAGTAAATTGTTTTCCCTTCCTAGAAATTGCTGTCTCACATGTTCGGCTGATGAATAAGGTGCAGCTTTCGGATTATATTTGGTGTCACAAACTTATGTTTATTCGGTCAATTCACTTTTTATGCTTATCTTTAATTACCGAAGTTGCGTGTCAGATATCACTTTGTTCTTTAAAGGCCTCAATGGTTTGGATTGCCAATTACGATTTACTATACCCCCATGACTGTGAATCTATGATCATGAAATTTGTCCCTCCTGCGTCCTAAAAAAATCACTTAGACAAGTCACAAACAAAACAACTTCAATCAGTCATAAGAGAACTTCATAACAGGATAAAGTCTGGACGACTGATATGAATGAATGGTCTAAACAAAAAAGGAGCCACTCTTTCCACTTTATAGACAAAAAAGACACATCGAATGAAAGCGTGGATTTTTAGAATGTTTCTATCACATCATCACCAAATATGTATTGTTAGACAATAACATTTGCCTAAAAAATTCATAAACCTTCAAGTGGATGTCATGAGTTGTTGAACACTAAAGAAAAGATCACTCTACCTTCTATTCTATAAAAGTTGATCATATCTTTACTTATATAAAGGTTATCATGTTGATTGTTATAGGTTGTGTTATCTAAACTCAAAACCGGATATGACGCTGCATATCGTCTATTATTAAGAGCTAAATATAACTAAGTCTATTCAGAGTTAAATATTACTCTTTGTACCCTAACTTAACCATCGGAGGGTCCTCCAAACATCCTTCAAGAAAAAGTTGGCAAACGCTTATGCTATGATACTATAAAACCTACGCCATAAACTCGGATAAAAGAAACTTGTCGTTGTACTCAATCATACATGTGGAAACAATTATCTCAATGCTCTTCTCCATGCCTTCGAAGTTCGCCTCCCTATCTTATTATATGTTAGAGATAATTGCGAGATAATCCCATCTTAAATAACGAGAAAAAGCTGGTATCCTTCTCTTAAAAACCTTACTAAGACCTTCCTCTACATGAAAAGATACGGATCCTTGTGCAATACTAGAAAGATGGGCTACATCTATATTACGGTTTGCACTTTCACCACTAGGAGTAGCCGTAGAGACACCTCTCATATTTTTAAGATCTACCATTTTTTTGTCAAACAAAAGAATAAAAAAAAAAGACTATACCTATCAAAAGCTCTAATGAACTCGCCAATGAAAGAGAGTCACACCACAAGAAGTCAAATTGTCTCCAAAGGAGTAAAGTTCAACAAAATTTCTCATAATCAAAAGGAAAGACTTACTAAAAAAAATATCTCTCTAAAGAACTCCAACCAATCACAAACTCATTGGTAATCCTCACTAACTCGGTAGTAATCATCACAAACCTTCTAAAAACTCATGGAAGTAAAAATAAAATAAGTAAAAGGTGAGAAGATAAGGACACTACTACCTATTTACAAGCAAAAGAGTACAAAAATTTTTGTTTAAAAACTCAAAAGCCCATGGCCAAAAGATAAGTCTAGTATGACATAGATCAATCACATACAATCATTAATTCTACAAAGCAATTGAAGTGGATGTCATTTGATAGATAGAGAATCCAAAGGGTCGGACGTCTTTATTTTCCTTACATGCTTCCATATGCGAGTATTTGGTTTCTTTATGTGTCCGTACATTTATCGAGGTCACATACCTTAAAAAAACCTCTAATACATCTACTAAGGTCAAGTTTGAAAAAAAAAGTAAGAAAATATTGGTTACTTTGAACATCACGAAGTATCTCTCCAGAAGCACGAAGACAATTTGAAGCTTTATCAAATACACTTGCCAAAGACTTAGAGGAGCTACCGATATACCCATATGACAACAATCGGGACATTTATCCCTTTCACTATCCTAAAAAATTACCTAAACAAGAGTTCATCGTAAATAAGACAACTTCGACCAGCCATTAAAGTGCCTTATAATTGGTAAAGCTCGAACAAACGATATGAATGAATGAGATGAAGAAAGTAGGAATCATTTTTTTTGCTTGATTGACAAAAAGAACATACATTTAATAAAGACGTAGCTTATTAGGATGTCTATGTCATACCCTCACCAAATATACAATGCTAGACAATGATATTTACCTAAAAGAATTCTACACCTTCAAGTAGACATCAAAAGCTATTAAATATAAAAGAATAGACCATTTTATCCTCTACTCTATGTAAGTTGACTATATTTCTACTTATATAAAGGCTAACACAAGTATTATAGGTTCTAACTTCTAAGCTCAAAACTAGATATAACGTTATATATCTTCTCTTACTAAGAGCTAAATATAACCATATTCATACTAAAAACTTTCTTTCATATGCTAATTTAACCATCGAAATATCCTTTAAACACTAGAAAAAGACTTTTTTGAAGGTACTCTCAATTTAATCGACATACAATTGATTAAATATACCACACGATCAGCCTAGATTAGAAGCCATTCAACCACCAATATTAATCTAAGAATCATGAATTCATTAGTGGCACCCTCTCGTAAAAAACTTATAAGCCAAAAAGCAAATGCCAAACTACTCTATTTCTCCATCTCTAAGCTTCTCCATAACTAACAATTAGAAAACTCCAATGCATTCTACACCATTCAACTTTTCTAGTCCCAATGCTCTACTAATTGACATCCTATAATAGCAATAACACATCAAGTTGATAACATAAATGTGCATATTGATATAAAAGAAAATAAAGTCTATGTCCACTCTATTACCAATGCTTTAGATATAACAAGAACATCCGCATCCATAACCTTTTAGAGGTTATCACCCTACCACAAGTCCAACCACACGTTTGCTATAACATACTTAGATCGACACTTGGTAGAAGAAAAAACAAGCGAGATACGATAAAAAAAGAGTTGAGAGAAGGAAATGCCATCTTTTTTAGAACTTTAAAAAAGTTACTTTCATTGCCATGGCAAAGGATCAATTAGCTAGGGCTTCGGTAAGGAAAAGAAGAAGGATGATAAAACCAAATACCATCACAAAGCTAGGAGTAAGCATAGCATAACATTATCGAGGATTGACATAGGAACTAGCATAGAGGCAACTTGTTCTCCTCTTAAACCTTTTTGGTAAGCCCTAAACCTAAACATCAACTAGGAAATAAAAGACCTAATTGTCATTCAGCTTGAATCAAACCACTATAGCCATAAGCTCTTGACTTTTCCACTTGCTCTTCACATTCCGCATGCTAAACTCCTAAGCTCTCTATTGAAAAGATGGATCTAGACATGTATGAGGGCACAATAGACTCTTGAAAACACATATAAAATGTCTAAAAAACCTTGAGTAGCTCATAAAGAGCTCAAATGCCATATGTAAAGTGTTTTCTACCATCTTTCGGGAGGTGGTGAGGAAGTAATATAACAACTTGGACCTTGAGTAAGTCCTTAGTTTCAAACACTTATGCTCTAAGTTGGTAACTCACTTTTCTAGTAGTATCCTTACTAAAAGAAGTTTAGAGGATTTGTTTCTCGCAAAAAAAAAAAGAGCACCGAGCCTAACTTTTTTACTTTTATAAAAAAATATTAAGGATTGATGGCATGTCAAAACCCGTAGCAATAAAGCTCTCATATTAGGAGTCCTTGTCACTAACTTATAGAAAAAGATATATACTCTCTCTAACAAAAACACCTCTAAAAAGTCAAGAAAGTAATGTAGAGCTATATCCGAGTAAAGGAAGTAATACCACTTAATACACCTACCTATGCTTTTAAAAGCCAATAAAAAATGGACTATGCCGATCCGCTCTAGTCCAAAAGAAATCTTTGAAGGCATTTACACAACTCGTCCGGTCTTTTTGGAACTTCTAGCAACTCTTATAAATGTCTCCTGTATAGAGGTATATGTTGTCATACAAGAAGAGGAACTTGTTAGCCGTTCAACTCTAATAAGTGGTCTTTTACATCTTTGTAGTCAAAAGAGGTTTTACCTCTATAACTAGAACGATATCTATGACACCGAGAATTGTTATTTTGTAAAAAAAAAAAAAAAGTTTGATAGTTAGAGAATACCTTAAATAGTTTATCAAGATAAAAAGGCCCAAACTAGATAAGGCTAGTCTTAGATAGAATCTTTATAAAGAAGATTATCTTCAAATCAACATAATTTTAGGCGGACCACTCACTAAGAAAGAATCCAACAAAAGAAATAGAAAAACTCTCATGGTATTTACAATCATAAAAAACCCTATGTCCTTGCATGAGCCCATCACATTCACTCATGTAGATATAGAAAGAATATTTTCCCTCATAATGATGCCTTGTAATTTCAATGATGGTCTTCAATTACAAAGTTCATCTTATTTGAGTAAACATCAACAACATTGTCATGTTTAGTGAAATGAAGCTTTTGATTTAATAAAGATGGATCATTCAAAATTTTAATAAGTTAAAACTCTTTTAAGAAGGATAGAAGGAGAATAAATCTTGATAGAGGGTGCAATTCATATCCTAGTGACCATGAATATGTCCCCTCAAAGTGTAATGATACATTTTATGTTTATGGTAATAGAAAAGAATTTGGCATGCAATTAAGCCCTTTCTCTATGAAATCAATGATATCGTCAACATCTTTTATATGTCTCTAAAGTTTTTTACAACAGAGGGAATAATTATAATTAAAAAAAAAATCAAGTCACCATTCAAAGATGCTTTTCTTCTAGTATAAAGAAAGCTAAGAGAGGACAAGAAGATGATTAGGTAAGAGGTGTAGAGGACTTAAATATGTGATGAAAGAAAACCGATTACTTGTCTAAACTCACCAAGTAGGCCAATACATCTTAGTGGCTAGCCCTTTTCTTAATTATATAAAAATATATGTTCATGAAAACATAATCAATGAAGGCATTTTTCATAAAAATTTACTAATTGGTACTTTTTGGCAAGAATATGCAATCATGTTTTTGTTAGAAACATTCCGCTCTATGAGGATCCTAGATAGAGATGG